TCATAGCCCTGTCAAGGAAATGTTTGCTTCGAAAAGCGAGCCCCGGGCTCGCCTGTGATGCCAGCCCTGGAGAGGCTCTGAGATGGAAGGACACCAGATCAAGGCCACCCTGAACTATATAGTGAGACCTGGTCCCACAGAACCAGTAGGAATGAAAAAAATGACGGAATAAGTACCAGCTGGACAAAAATTCTTGCCCATTGCTCCTGTTTGGCCTTCTCTATTAAGTTTCGTGTACTGAGATGTCAACGTTTCATCTATCGCTTGGTGTGTGTGTGTGTGTGTGTGTGTGTGTGTGTGTGTGAGAGAGAGAGAGAGAGAGAGAGAGAGAGAGAGAGAGAGAGAGAGAGATCCCTTGAAGCTAAAGAATAGAACATGTGACATAAAACGTTTTCAAACTCACTTATTTCTAAGGCGGTATTTAGATATTGGGAAATTCTTTTTTTTTTTCAGAATTTTTTATTTGAATTAGAAACAAGATTGTTTTACATGACAATCCCAGTTCCCTCTCCCTCCCCTCCTCCCTTACCACCCTCCCCCCAACTAAAACCCTATCACATATCCTTTCTGCTCTCCCTGAATGGTGAGGCCTTCCATAGGGTGTCATCAGAGTCTATCATATCCTTTGGGATAGGGCCTAGGCCCACCCCCGTGTGTCTGGGCTCAGGGAGTATTCCTCTATGTGGAATGGGCTCCCAAAGTCCACACCTATGCTAGGGATAAGGACTGAACTACTTAAGGAGGTCCTGTAGATTTCCGAGGTTTCCTCACTGAAACCATGTTCCTGGGGTCTGAATCAGTCCCATTCTGGTATCCCAGCTATCAGTCTGGGGAGCAAGAGTTCCCCAATGTTCAGGTCAGTTGTTTCTGTGGGTTTCACCAGCCTGGTCTGGACCCGTTTGCTCTTCACTCATCCTTCTCTGCATCTGGATTCCAGTTCAGTTCGGTGATTAGTTGTGGGTGTCTGCTTCTACTTCCACCAGCTACTGGATGAGGGCTATCGGGTGGCATATAAGTCAGTCATCAATCTCATAATCAGGGGAGGGCATTTAAGGTAGCCTCTCCTCTGTTGCTTAGATTGTTAGCTGGTGTCATCTTTGTAGATCTCCAGACAGGGAAATTCCTTTTCTTTTTAAAGATTTGTCACGTATACAGTGCTCTACCTGCATGTATGTCTGACTGCCAGAAGAGGGCACCAGATCCCATTACAGATGGTTGTGAACCACCATGTGTTTGCTGGGAATTGAACTCAGGACCTTTCCAAGAGCAGGCAGTGTTCTTAACCAATGAGCCATCTCTCCAGCCTGGGAAAATTATTTTCATCAGAAGTTTAACCTCATGTTCATTTACCATGTGGAGAGCAAAACCTGCTTGAAGTCCTGGCTAATGTAGAGTGTGCACCTTGCACTTTTA